CCCCAAAACCCCAAAACCCCAAAACCCCTCAAAGAATTATATGATTTATCAGGGACGAAGTTATAAATTGAAATTTAAACTTTAAGTAAAAATAATTATCAATAATATTGTTAGCTTTTTAGTTTTCAATTAATAAATTCTCATCGCTTTTTTTGGATGCTCTTAGCATTCATCTTTTGAGCAGCGAATACTTAATGACTCAGATTATCATTGAATCTAGTGCCTTGTCTTAATTGATTATTACTGCTGATACTGTTGTTTTGTACAGAGGGCTTGCTTAATGGCACCGAGCCAATCATAATATTGTTGTTTGACACTCTATCTCTTTCAACAGCAATGGCATTATACATGCTATTGACGTTTCCTCTGAAGTTCATTAGTTACTCACTTTGCTAATTATCATTTGTATTTCTTTCCAAATGTCTACTCCATGCTTTAGCATTTACTTGAGCTTTTACAAAATCACCACCTCTGGCAATTTTAGCAGTTTATTTTATGGCATTTACACCCAAAATATCAAAGTCGGCTTGCTGCATCAATTCATTTCTATCGTTTGATGTTTCGACTTGGTTTGTGATTACTCTGATGCATCTTGCACCGTCTAAGGATGTGTAGGTTATCTATGCTTAGAAGGGGAAATGTTTAAGTTTTTCCAAATCAATGTCCTCCATTTCTACCAGTTTCTTTATATTCTTGAGTTTGTATTCAAATGTAATCTCAGTATCCTCGTTTACATTGCCAAGATCTCTTGAAAGAATAGTCTTGTCAGCACTTAGACTTTGTGGATCCTCATTTCTATACTGAAGACCTTTGTGAATCTTAACCTTTACCTAGACATTTGTAGCTAGAGTTGGTAAACTTAAGATGTTAGAGAAATTCTCTATAAGATCCTTAGGATTAACTCTCTGCACATCTCCACCAGTCAGCTCAGATAGTCTTGAAATAGTGTCAATGTTACATTCTTCACCCTCGATACTGACAATATTTACTGTTACACCTTTTGACTTGGCATATTCACCCATTCTATCATAGATCTCATCTATCTTTTGGTGCTACTCTTCTTCGAAAACATCATCAAAATTACCAAGACCTACATTAGCAAGTCCATCTGTGCAAACTATCACTTAAGAACCAGGTGCTCCTTCACCAGCCATTGCAATGGCAGTCAGTACAGCTGGTCCCAATGCAGTTGGCCCTGTTTCCTCCAAACCTAGGAGCTTTTATTCCAAATGCTTTTTAGTCTCCTTTATAGGCTTTTGAAGTCCAGTCTGATGAGATTGAATTCCACTCTAGAGAAGTGTATCATAATCATTAAGATTATCACCAGCTATTGTCTTTGGAATCTAGGTACCATCCCCAATAACTGTTACCTCACTATTGAAAGTCACTAAACCAATTTTCCTATCGGGATGGCACTTTTACATTTCTTCTAGTTGCTTCTCAATGGCTGATTGGACGCATTAGAGTCTTGAGACATATGTGACATTATGATCTCCTCGGAGTCTTTGGTCAGAGCCGTCTCCGAACTTCATGAGTTCTGCTGAGATACCCTTCATTCTATCACCTTTTAGCTGATGACGACCAACAACTGGCAAGGATACACACATGCTTCCTGATATATCAATACAGAAGATAACTGATATGTCTTTTTAACCAGTTCCAGGGTTTTTCTTATCAATAATCTATGCAGCTGCTTCAACAATGTAGTTCACAGCTTCAGACTTTGGAAGTTCCTCAGGTTCGAACTAAACCTTATTTTTGTGGTTGCAAAATTCGCATTGCCAAATCTACTCCTCTTCAGCTTTGTTTTCTTCAATCTTACTGTGGAGATTAAAGACTGCATCGCAATTAGTGCAGAAGTAGGGATCACCAGTTGCAAGTTCACCTTGATCTTTTAGACAAGCCATAGATATTTGGAAGACATTAGTATCTACATCTTGCTTGTGTTTTCTTCTTTTTTCCTTCTTTAATTCTGCAGTATTTTCTGTGTTGGAGTTATTTTTTAGAAATTCTTGAAGATTTTCTGATGGTGCCTAGAAGCCCAAGCCAAACAACGAGTTCTGGGGATTCATTTGCTGTTAAAAATTCATTTATGGTTAGGCTTATCCAAAGAACATGTTGTTTTCCATTTCATTGCTTTGAGCACTGAATAAACTGGTTTGTTCTCTTCTCTATTATGGTACACTTTAGCTGGATCCTCCGAAGAAGTTCGAGATTTTACCAAATATTGAAGTCTTCTCTTTTTTCTTGTCATCTTTAATCATGTTTTGTAGCATTTGAACATGTTAGTGTTCGAATACTTTGTTGTCGTCAATATCATCGCCTAATTCTTCAGAATTCATACTCTCAGCTGATAGATTGTCCTCTTCCTCATCTTCTTCTGCTTCATCGGGGATTAGATTGTTCACTTTACCCTCTGATTTCTTAGGCTAGACCTTTATCTCTTCTTTGATTTGTTTTGATTAGGCAGATGATGATATCATTTCTGATGATTCATCATTCATTAAGACATCATCTTCTTCTTATTACTCTTTAATTTGAAACATCTGGTTTAAAGTATTTTCAGATTACATTCTTCTTTCTTTCTCATGCTTGTATTGCTCGATAGCTCTCTTAGAGAGATAAGCTTTGTTACTTGCTGATTTCATTGATAACTATTTTGTTTGCCTTAGTAGGAAATATTTGTATGTTTTGATTTGTTAATCTAATTAATGTAAAATCTTTATCCTAATTATATATCTCTTCAATTCGAGCACTAGTAATTTTTTGTCAGGTAACTATTCTAATATATACTTCAAACTCCAGGAAACATATTTTGAGCTTGGGGTTTTGGGGTTTTGGGGTTTTGGGG